GAGTGATTTCTCCCTGTCCTTATCTCAACTCATGAACCCTTTGTTATATTTTCTTTTCCTGCCCATCTCTGGAGGGCAGGGATGGAACAGCTTTGGTGGGTTCCTGGTGTCCAGCCAGGGTCAACCCATCCCACCACGTGAGTGATGTCCAAGTGAGTGATGTCCAAGTGAGTGATGTGCCCATTTTGGCAGAGCAGGACAGGACAGAAACAGCCCAGGCACCACTAGGAAGTTCATGGTGATTTTTTACCCCAATAAGCCAAGTTTTTCCACTGACAGCTGCAACTGGGGACACTCAGACTTACAGTAGGTTGGTGACAAGCCCTTGCTTGACTAAAATACCAATTTCTGTGACTGGCATGGCAGAGAAGGAGCTGGGCATGTCCCAGCCCCATCCCAAATGCTGGGAGTTCCACAGCAGCCCGTGCCAGGCTCACACTTGCTCGTTGCTGCCTAATCCTCTCAAGGCTTTAACCCCATAACCCTGGGGGATTGGTGCTGGGGAGGGGAGGGCTCAGGCAGCTGGGACAGACCCCCTGCAAGACAAAGGAGCCCCTTCCCTGCTCCTGCTGGGAACACACAGTGTGTGACAATGCTGCAGTGGGGAATGCTGCTCTATGTGTTTTTAACACCAGAGCCAGGAGGCTGCAGCGTGTTAAAGTTCAGTGCAAACCCTGAACACACCCAGCCCAGCTCCTGGGATGTCCCTTGCTCCTGTGGGAGCACAGCTCAGCACAGAAAAGCTCTGGAAGAGCCTTTCCATTGCATGGAGACACAGAACCCTGGAATGGTTTGGGCTGGAAGGATCTTAAAGCTCATCCCATTCCACCCCTGCCATGTGCAGGGACACCTTCCACTGTCCCAGGCTGCCCCAAGCCCCATCCAACAGTGCCAGGGATCCAGGGGCAGCCACAGCTGCTCTGGGCACCCTGTGCCAGGGCCTGCCCACCAAGCCAAGCCCCCTTTCCTGCCCTATGGAAGTTTTCAAATTAAGCTGGAGAAAAGGCAGGAGGGATTTGCAACAAACAGGCTGTGAAAGCAGCCACAGGTCTGTGAGCCACAGCTCTGTGTTCTGGGGGCTTAACCATGCTCTGGTCTCCAAAATTCTAGGCTAAAAATCATAATAACATTGCTTTATTACAAAAATTTATATTGGCTATGTCCTTATCTCCATGCACTTGCTAGCAGAGGGAAATAGGATATGAGCAGATTGCTGGACTAAACCAGAAAGAAAAAAAGATTACAGATAAGCCATTTATGACAAAAAACCTGCTCTATCTGAAGGATTTGCCCTTATCCTGCTAATATAAACATGTCAACCCTCCAGATCTCTATTTAACCACAAATAAATCCAGCCCAGCTTGTGGGCATCTGCACAAACTCCTCCTGCCCTTGGAAGCACCAATATTCCACAGTGGGATCCACTGGAACCTATCCATCCCTGTGGTGAGTCAGACCTTCACCAAAAGCAGTGGAAATCACTCCAGGAATAGAAGCCAGGGGGTGGAATTGATAATTCACAAGCAAAACCCAAGCCCAGAACTCTAAATTTGGGGTTGTGGTTTGATAAGCACTGTACAGAAGCAGATCTGATCAGGCACCTGGAAACCCTCAACCTGGGCAGTAAATTCTATTTCCTATTCCCATCTCGAGGCTCAGGCAGCTTCAGGATCCAGAGTCCAACTAATCTTCACTACACACAGCCTAAACAAGCTTTAAGCTCAAACCATTTCAGGTATGTTGAGCTCTGAGAGCTCCTGAGAAGTGATGCTGAAGCTCTGATTCAGCCCAGGACTGAGGGTACTGTACTCTGAGCACCAGAGGTTTCCTCCTGTGAGGTCTGACGGCACCAAAACCAGCCCTCAGCACTCCCACACCTTCCCATTTCAAACCTTTCAAATCTATAAATCAAACCAAGTTTTTGGCTGCCTGGAATTTGCACACATTGAACAATCTAGGAAAAGGCTTGGACAGGGCACACAAAGGACATCTGACATTCCCAAGCCCACAGCTGGGGTAACAGGGAATCACAGAATGGTTTGGGTTGGAAGGATCTTAAAGAACATCCCATCCCA